CAGGCTCCTTCTCCACATTGCCAACCTATTGTGTACACGTGCTAAGGGTGACCGAGGCTCAGAGTCAACGGCACACAGGCTATCTCTGTGCCTGGCTCCCTAGTGACTGTAGGGTTATGGGTCACTTGGAGGGAAAGGATAGCTATGAATAGATACCTTTTAGTGGTAATCCCTGTTAGAAATGCAAAAGTTTAACTTTTAAGGGATTCTACTTTTTTCCTCCTTTTGTCTTGCTCTTAATTTAAACTTTCTTTCCATTCCATATTGTTTTTAAATTGTGTTCATTTTAATTTTCATACTGAAGCAGAAGGATGAAGACCAGCTGGAAGATGAATCTCTTTCTGATGCTGCTCTTGGTCACATGAGTTGGGTGGGAGTGCGGAAGTGTGGAGGGTGTTAGATTGTTTAATAGTAAAAATGATAGTAAGGGGTCAGAGTTTCTGTTTTACTTTCAGCTCATCCATTCAAAAAGCAAAGCACCTGGAAGCCTGCAGGGCAGAGTGGTGGGTGGAGCTGGAGAGGAGAAGAAATTTGCTAGGCTGTTAAGTAGGATCTTAATCAGACATGAGATTTCAGAGGGAGGTATGATTGTCTGCACATTAGCAATGGGGAGACGGAGACGGAGATGGTATAAGTTGCGTAGGATTCAGACTTTTTCTGTTTAGGTGTAGTGCATCTCCTTTGTGGCTCTGACCCTTGCCTCGTTGGGCAGACAAATGTGGGGCAGTCATCATGTACAGTTTGGTATATCCCAGAAGCAAAAGAAGGTTGCCCGGAAACAAGACAGAGCCCGGACAGAACTTACCACCGCCTCCTCTCTGTCGCTGGTTGGCGGGAGCAGTCTAAAAAGATGATGCCCTTCGTTTAGCAAATGTAAACGGAGCCCATACTGTGTACCCACCAGGTATTGTTCCAGGACTCATTCTGCAGCAAAGAACAGCTAGATGGGGTCGATGCTCCCAGGGCTTTAAACTCCAGAGGAGGGGGAGAGGCCAGTTGGGAAATAAGTGGTATCGTTTCACATTTGATCATTGTTTTGAAGGAAACACAGCAAAGCAATGAGAAAGTGACAGTGTGCCTTAATAGACCCCATCACCAGAGGCTGGAAGGCTTGAAGCCCACTCCCTGTTTATCCCCCATCCCTCAAGGCTGTAGCCCCTCGAAGGTGGGGCAGTATGACTCTTATTCGTTTGCGCCTCCAGTATTTGTCTCATGAAGATCATTTTCTGACACTATCCCCTTTTCTTCAGCTTGCAGTAACATGTTCCTCATTTCCATCTGAGTCCCTAATGGTAGCCCTTCACACCCATATTTCTCCCTGTAGTCTGTTCACGCTGATTGAGGTGTTCTATAAGATGATACAGGTTTCCTCATCCATGCTCCCTACCTCCTTCTGAGCCCTCACTGGCAGAGTTGTTAATATTCATATTTCTGACAGTTTATTGAAGGCAATCTAGGCTCTTCTTATCGTTCTCAAATTCTTCAGCCTCTGCACATTGCTCAGTTCCAAAGGCACGTCCACATTTGTTACAGCAGCACTTCCAGTATCAAGATCTGTTTTAGTTTCACACTGTTCCTCTAACAGATTGCCACAAGCAGAGTGGCTTAAAAAAACACAAGTCAGAAGTCCTAAAAGGTTCTCACCAGGCAAAAATCAAGGTGTCCGCAGGACTATACTCTTTTCCAGAAGCTCTGGGGAAGAACCTGTTTCCTTGCCTTTCCTAGCTTTTGGAGCCAGCCCGCATCCCGTGGTTTCTTCATCTTTCATCTTCAAAGCCAGCCGTCACTTTTTGTCATCGCGTCACTTGGACCCTGACTGTCATGCCTTTCTCACCCACATGTAAAAGACCCCTGTGATTACACTGGGCTCATCCTGATAATCAAGATAATCTTGTTTTAAGGTCAGCTGGTTAGTAATTTTAATTTTCTGCAACCTTAGTTCCTTCTTGTTGTGTAACATACTGTATTCATAGGCTCCAGAGACTAAGATGTGTTTGGGGAGGGGGCCAGTCATCGTTCTGCTGACCAGAGCCATTGACCACATGTGATTTTATGGCTGCGTCACCTCTCTCCACCTCATTTTTCTTATCTATAAAATGGGGAGAGTTGAAGCACCCACCTAGAGTGTCGTTATTAGGAATCAATGAGTTAATATTGGCAAAGTGCCCCAAACAGTACCTGGAACAAGGAAGCTTTGTGTTAGTACTTGCTAAATAAACAATGATCTCCTAATCCTAGGTGATTAGGACAATGAGTGCCACCAGCAAGCACGTCACAGAGGGGAAAGAGAGGCTTGGTTGGCTCTCCAATAAATAATTTTGCAATAAATGGAGAGATCAAAGAGGGGGGAGAAATTCAGAGCAGTTGGTTTAAGATCTTTCTCTTGAACAACTTAGTGTAACCCAGGAGAGGATGCTAGAGTTCCAGGTTATGAAATCCTGGCACCTGGATGAAGAAGATTGTAATTTGCTCATACCTGTGAAGTTACCTAAGAGGACTTGGCCGCCTGTGGCAGAACCGAGGGCCTCAGTCCTGTGAACGGTTGTGCTGTCCTAGGGGGAGCATCTGTGAAGGATGGGGTGACGCACAAGTGAAGATGCCTGATGAAACAGACTGTCCATATGAGGACCCTGAGCCCCCTGTCACTGTCCACATGTAGGCTGCTCCTAGGTCCAAGGAATGGCAGGAGTGGCTGTGTCCACAGTGATGTTACTTCAGGTTGGAAAAGTGGCAGTGTTGTGGACAAGCCAGGAGAGCAGCTCTCTTGGACAGGGACATCAGAGTTTCTGATTGTTGATCCTTTGGGCTGGATTGTGAGGACTGCATGTTTTTAAAAACCTTGAGAGATTGGCACAGAGGTGGGTAGACTGCCTGAGCAAGATGTGGAGTCAGGCATGGAGGACTCGGATTCGAGCTGGCTCTCCTGTTATATTAGTGAGGTTGCTTAGTGGTTTTTGAGTTCCTGATATGGCTCCTCTCAGCCCGACAATCAGTATTT